CCTTCCAGCCCTAATGTCTATGAAATCTATGAAAATTTACCCCCAACTCATTACCTCTTCTTCCTGCTTCTCCTTCCGCTTTGCATCTGTAGCATCAGCATCCCCTTCTTCAGCTTCACCATCCACAGGCCTCCCTTCTTCAGCCTCAGCTTCATTATCATCCTGTACCTAGGGAACCAGCACAAATAAGACTGTCAAGGCTGTATTTCAATTCTTCTCCTCGGCTATGTCTCATTCTAAGAGCAGGGTGAGAGCAACCAGCACTGGAACTCAAGACAATGAGGCATTTTCAGTGAGCAGAATCTTGAAGTATATGGGGTTTGGCAAAGCAGGATCTTCCACACTTTACTTTTCATTTCCATGCTAGACTCTGCTCTCAGGGAAGGTCATACTGGGCAGTCTGGGTCATCAAGTTTTTTTCCAGACCCCTGAGAATAAACCTGCTGTAGAAGAATCTTTACAAAGTAATTATAAGGACTCAAAGCACATTGTTTATGTGGTATTTGGATACTTAAAACACTCCATTTGGCAAATGGTAGTGTAATTATTAAAATGCAACAACATGCTGAGCTCTTTTGAAAAATCTGATCCTTAAAAGGTACGAGAGGATTGAAATTCTCCTTTCCCCCCGCCCCCCTGTAAAATGTTTTCCAAGCACCTGCCTTATTTCTTCCTACCTGGTTTGCTTGAGTTGCTCCATCATCTCCATCTAGATCCTTCTGAGTCACCTTCCGAGTGTTGATTGCACTGAAAGATGCCATCTTTGTACTCTTCCTTTTAACTGTTTCAAGCATGATTTTAAATAACCTGGAAGATAATGGAATGCAAAAACCCTCAGACTCTGCAGTATCACAACTGTGTTCCAGGAAACCCAAAGATGCACATGTTCTGTTCAGAAAGCCAGTAAAATTCAGAAAGGGAGGACAAATTTCTCAGTAGATTTATTAGGACTTTTAGGATGGGATAAATTATTCAGCCATTCACCCTACTGCTCTTTAAAACATAAGGCTGGCATTGTTTCAATTATTTATACACAGCCACCTGTCCAAAACTTTTATCAATTAGCTCAGCCCTCAGTAAAAACAGCGCCGTAAACAGAGAAGTGGCAGAAGAGAGACTTTCAGTGCTATCAACTTATTATCAGTCACATTTTTTCACAGTGAGTACACTAAAGAATTTTAAAGAAAGTGACCTCAGTCCGAACTAACAGACTGAGAGAAAAGCAAAGAATGCAGAACTGAGGATGAAGTCCCCAACCTCAGGCAAAACAAAGACAGCTTTCAAAAATAAATGTGGCACGGTTCCATTTGGGTTTTTTTTTAAACTACGTATGTGAAATCTAATGAAAGGGGTGAGTCTCATTGATGAAACAATGTGCTGTCAGCCACACAAGATATGAAAACAACTACTGAAAAAACAGCCTCTCTCAGAATATCATCAACAGGACAAAGTTCATATCTGGACAGAGTCATGAGATACTTTACAACTCAAGGATTCTGTTGGCAACAGCCAACACAAACCATGCCAGGGTGAGTTGATGATGCAGACTATTCTTTGGAGATGTCAATGGAGAAGAGGGGGAAATTTTGATACAGCCTGTAACTAGGTATTGTGACAAGTCTGCAGATCTCATCAGCCATTCCTTCTTAAATCCTTTCAACTGCCTGTGAAAAGCTGCATGGATGTTCACAGCAACAACCCCTTCGTGACTGCATCAAACTGGGAGTCATGAGCAGCAGCGGAGAGCAGGCCAGGATGACTCATCATTCACTCCTCTTACAGAGTCTGAAGACTGAGCCCTGGAGGGATTTCAAAAATGGACTCACCTGGTCTCCATGAAGTGCAAGATATCCCTTGGCTTCAGACACTTCTCTTCCCGATAGCTTTCATACGGCAGGAAGTGAAATCTGATTTGGTAGCGGCGATACTTGCTCTGTTTGCCCTCTATGCACAGAGACTCGTCAATTTTAATGTTCTGCAAGACCTAGAACAGGAGCAAGTTCGGTTCCAAGACCTGACACATTTCAACCCCTCCCCAGGGTTTCATTTCATAGGAGACACAGGAGTTGCATATACACCCTGTGCTAATGCTTCCTACCCTACACAAGCATGCACAGAACTACAACTTGGTACATCATTTCCTGTAGCTCACTTAGCCCCAGTAATGAGCATAAGCACTGATATCTTTTGAGAGAAAAACTTGATCATCTTCCCTGTTCCCCCTAATGACTCACAAAAGCCCACACACACACACCTCCCAATGGATGGACAGTTTGTAAGGGTCACTGAACAGGTCAAGCTGCTCAGCACATAGCTACACTTGGCTTTCCTCCTTCCTCAGTCAGAAGGCAGGACACGCAACACGACACAGGAACCAGATGGAAGAAGGTGATATAAAAGAGATCAGATTTTAATAATCAGGCTCCATATTCTCCCAGGTGCTACATACTTCCCTCCTTCCCAGCAAAGCAAACCCTAGGAGCTTAGGAAAGCCCTTAGAAGAACAACTAGTCCCTAAAATGCATGTCAAACACAAATAAGATGAACTCATTTCCTAAAGGATGAAGACATGAAAGGAATCTGAAAATCTGGAGAGTCACTAAATGAGCTGGGGGCAAGGTTAGGGCAGGCTGCTTCAGAGATCCCTCATCATTGATACACTGCTATAAACCCTTACCCTTTCCCTCTAGCCGTAAGCCAGCCTTTTGGCTACAACAAAGCTCTTATTCAAGCTACTCTGAATTTAAATACATCTTGCCTTATATAGACATAGTTAAAACAAAACCCCTTCTCAATGCTCTAATTATTCAGAGTTAAATGGGAGGCAAGGATTTTGGGTGCGCTACTTTTATTTCTCTCTTGAGATGGTGTCTCTTTAGGTCTCCTCAGACCTAACTAAAAATGCTTTGTAATCAAAAGCTTGTCTAACTTTATCCCAACAATACAGCCAGGCCAATAAAAATATCATACCAAAAAATCCTTGCCTCTTACATAATTCCCCAACTATAAATTCATAAGGAATAAGTCATGAAAGGACCTCAAACTCCAAACACCAATTTCTAGCCATTCATCCCTCCTCCCCATTCAACCTCTCTCAAGCTCACTCAAGGATACAAGAGAAGTTGAGTGGCTAATCTCAGCCTGATATTGCAAAGCAGATGTGATCTTTTAAAAAAGGTGAAAAGGCTGGAAAGTCAAAGAATATACATAATGGAGACTTACATCAGCTAGGTACACTCTTGTAAGCTGTTTCTTAAGTCTTTTCACCCTCTTTTGAGCTTTCTTAGTATTGAGCACAGGCACACTCATCATTGGTGTTTTAATCTTTGCACTGGCTACCATGAGGATCTCTCGTAACCTTTTAGAGAAAAATAGTTGAAAATTAAGCTATAAATTCATCATACAACCAACATGAATACAACTCATTTCACAGAAGTTGCATGAAAGTCTACGTACAGGTTCCTGCTAATCAGGATGCATCTAAAAGCCATAACACGTACTTTATCTGTCCAGTTTGGGTTTGGCCTTCAGTTCTCCATCAGCTAAATACAGGACACATTACCTACACCAGGGGCAGGCAATGTTTTTTGGCCGGAGTGCCGGAAAAACCATAATGTCTACCTCGTAAGGTGCCAGAGTGCTGGCATGCCACAAAAACAAAGCTGAGGGGGGTACATGGCAGGATGAACTGCATATTTAATACAGTTAATCATCATCATAAATGTTGCCTTTTTTTTTTTTTTTTTAAACAGTAAATACCAAGTTTTCCAAAAATTGTAAACCTGGTGACAATAAATAAAACTTCATATACTGCCTTTGTACGTGTGATTTTTTTTTTTTGCTTGTAACGTATGTTGTGATGAGAGGGGGAAGAGGGAGAGAGGAGCAGGAGGCACCAGGGAGTCACCACAGGCAAGCTGGTCTGCCCAGGCCCTTGGGAAGGCTGCAGCCGGAGGAGAGTGGGGGTCAGGGGGGGCGTGGGGGCTGCCCGAGGGCTCTGCAGACTCAAGCCACAGTGGGGGGACCCAGCAGCACTGGAAGTGGGGCCCAGCCAACCTACGCAGCTCTGCAGGAATGAGGCACAACCACCCTGCCCGTGAAGGGGTGCTGCCTGGCTGCGGCAGGGCTCTGGGGTCAGGGTCTCCCCGCTTGGCCTCTGTGCGTGCCGGGACAGTGCGA